CAGTAGTAAAATGTAAGGGTCATTCTGTATACTAATATCAGTGATCTTACAAACTAAGCAAAATAGCATTCCAAAACAGTTACATTAAAGAACAAGCAAACTAGAAATGGTTTATGGTGCCCTTCTCCTGGTGACATCTCCAACACGTCAGAGGCTAATGAGTGATATATCCATATGTCAGCAGGGCAGCAGTACCACTGAGAGCATTCTGAGAGAGCATTTGATAATTTTGCTCTTTTAACCTGCTAGAAATAGTAACCTTATGGGCAAAAGTAAAGGCTTTTGGCCAATTCACCAAATCCCCTGGTATCTGCAACTCTGATTCCCATTTCAAAGTAGACAATAGGTAATCTGGTAGAGACACAAGAAGAAGCAGTTTATACACCACAGAAAGCACATGCAAACTCCTCACTTTTTGAAGAAGACATTTAAAAGCTGTATATGGTCTTTGGTTCCAATTGAGGGAAGGGACCGAAAGACCATTGACAAGTGTTCATAGCAATCCAAGTGCTTATCCATCACCTGTGGGAGCAAAACTTGTACTTTGCTATTCAGAAGAGTATCTGAAAGGCTGGGGTTGGTAACGGCCTGCCAAAACAAAAATCATGACATAGATTACGACAGAGCAGGGGAAAAGTCAGGATTACATAAAAGAGTTAACAATGGCCCTGGCCTAGAAGATATGAGTTTCCTATTCACTATACAGGTCCAAGAGAGCACCATAGCTATTGTTATAAGAGGCAACGTAAGTAGCTTAGAGCTTGCATTTGGAGTGAGCCATGGAAGAGCAGTAGGTTTTCAACTCGCTAAGTGTTTCACTAAACAGACCCAGAAGTTACTCTGTTTATTATGGAACCAGTCAACTATTCTGGCAATCGTGGAAGTAAGCAGATGAAAGGGCACTGATATACAGTAATTGTAAGTGTGGGTTTAATGCATCTGTCTACAGGAGGTAAACCCTGGTGAACAAAAACAAATGTTGAAAGCCAGCACACTATAACCCTGCCTTTTTTGTAAGGAAGTAGAACTTAGGACCAGGACACAGAGGGGTGAACCTGCATTCCTCAATAGGCTCCAAGAAAGTCCAAGAAGTCCAAGAAAGTCCACGAAAAACATTTTACAGTAAGAACAAAAATTTTCTTTTCTTTATGACCCATTAAGGGACACAGAAGCATAATAATTCACAGCTACGTGAGATGTCAGAATGCAATCCAACTGACACTGTTATTTGATGGTTAATGAACCCCAACAAGACAAAAGGTGGGAGAAAATTAGGACCAACAGCAAAAGTGGTCAAAAAAAAATGGAATGTTTGGGTGAAGGTCAAATCATAGGATATCTAACCTTTGACCTCAGGATAGGGATATCAGACAAAGTATGTCATGACCAAAGATCACCCACTGAACAGCTGGGGGTTGAAGCGGAATACCCTTAACCCTTGAATTTAGGCAAAAAGAATTCAAATCAAAGCAGTCCTTTCAATAGTAATCTAAATCAGGGCTTGATAAATTTTCTTTGAATCCAGGAGCCAGCTAAAAAAAGTTAGGAGCCAGGTTTTTTTTGTGGGCGCATTTCGTGTTGGAGGGGGACTTTAATTTTTTGGGGGGTATTTTTCATTTTATTTAACTTTATTTTTTTTAAACTTTATTTGCATGCAGATGGTGGGGGGCAGGGTAGTTTTTTATTTCAATTTGTATTTATTTTATTTTTTGACTTCTTTATCACTTTTAGTTTTTTTTAACCTTTTTATCACTTTTTATTTTATTATTTTGTATATTTTTATCACTTTTTTCTCTTAAATTTATTGATATCACACAGGGGATTACAAGCCTCTATGTGCTTTCATTCAGAGGTGACAGGCTCTCTTTATGAAGCCTGCCCTCCAGTACAGAAAATCCAGCACAGCATTGTGCTCGATCTTCTGTACAGCTCCACATGTGACAGCTGTCACAGGAAGTGCTGTGAATACAGCGCTCCTGTGTCACTGATCACAGAACAGATCCTTCCTGAAATTATTACCGTGGTCCCCAGTGCCCCAGAAGAGTGGGGGAGCCTGAAAACCATGGCAGGGAGGGGGCAGGTGGCTGAGGGGACAGACTTTGGAGGGATGGATGGACCATGAAGGGGGGAGCCGGCCGGGGGAAGGGCCAGCAGGCTGCTATACCAGTGATCGGGGTGGATCACTTGTACAAGAAGGGGGAAGCCAGCCGGTGGAAGGACCAGAAGACTGCTATACAAGTGATCGGGGTGGATCACTTGTACAAGAAGGGGGAAGTTGGCCGGGGGAAGGACCAGCAGACTGCTATACAAGCGATCGCGGTGGATCATTTGTACAAGAAGGGGGAAGCGGGCCGGGGGAAGGACCAGCAGGCTGCTATACAAGTGATCAGTGTGGATCACTTGTGCAAAAACGAGCGCCGGCTTCCCCTGCTCTACATTTAGCTCTGCTTGCCCAAAGCAGGGCTGCATGTATAAAACAAACACCCGCCTGAAAATATGGGCTTGATGAACAGCTATGTTAATATTGTGTAACATAAAACTGATGAAGGAGGATTTGGCTCAGTCAACGGAAGGTAAAGAAAGCATTTGTTAACTTTATGGGGCTTGTGCATCACATTGTAACTGGATTTGGTACTTGTTAAGACTCTTACTCGTTCCCTAACACATTCCTTACCTAACCTATCCTAAGCTACTGTATCCTAAGTCAAATAAAAACTTTGCTTTTAGATATACTTTATCCACTTGCTGTCCGCCCATTTTACATAAACGGATGGATGGTAGTCCTCCAAGGATGGAATGGTGTTTTAAAATGTCATTTTTTGTGGTGCTCATGTGCGCCCTCTAGTGCGTGCACAAGCACAGAACAGTGATCACACTTTCCATTGGACAGTGCAGATCACAAAAACAGGGTATAGTGCCTTGGGCGTGGCTCTGTTCTTCGTGATCGCTGTAACCAATCACAGCATCACACACTGTAAATAATAGCTGTGGTTGGCAACTGGCTCTCACTTTCCTTGTTGATTACTGCCATCTGGTACTGGATGGTAATTAAAAAAAACGTTTCGATACCAGCTTAAGAAAGTACAATCTTGAACAAAAGATCTAAAATGTATCTAAGTGTGTTACATACTAGTGTAATTGTCAGCACTGAAAACTGGTCTGGACGGGAATAGGGATGAGCTCAGGTTCAGACCAAACCCAATCTGAACCTGAAAGGAACCTCCTGCTTCTCAATCAACTACGGCTGGGGAATTCCCTGCCCACAGCTGCATGTAAGCAAAGGGGTGCGATGCAGTGACATCATTGACCTTATATGGCCACATGGCTAAATTTGGTCATTGACTGATCTAATATGGCCATATAAGGTCAATGATGTCACCACATGGCTATATTTGGTCAATCACTGAACAAATATGGCCATATAAGGTAAATGATGTCAGCACCTCATTTGTTTATGAGCAGCTGTGGTACTGGGATGACAATGAGGGGAATTTATCAAAACTGGAGCAGTCAAAATCTGGAGCAGCAGCGCATGGCAACCAATCAGCTTCTCTCTTTCATTTTCAAACCTTAACTGAACAAACTGAAGAGAGAAGCTGATTGCTTGCCGTAGACGACTGCTCCAGATTCTTCTGCTCCAGTTTTGATAAGTGTGTCCCCCCCCCCTCCGTTGTGCCTCAGCTAATTAGGCTTAATCAGGAGCGTCCTTTGCCTTTGATCTCCACCCCTTGGTGGTAATGCACATTAATCAGGGCAGGGGCTGGTAGTGCAGTTGGGGGGCTCTGGCTCCAGCTGGCATCCTGCCCAGTTATTGGCAACCAGTGACGTCGCTGGTTGCCAGGAGCTGAGAGGGATGCCGGCCAGAGCGTCCCAGGTTGCTAAGAGCTGTATGGCTCTTACACAGCTCTCTGGGTCTTAACAACCTGGGATGATCTGGCTGGAAAGGGAGTGGCAAGCACAATGCAAACAGTGTGGAGACGAGCGGCCATGCCACTCTGCCTGCCACCCCAAGGGCAGCCATCAGGGGGTACGGCCGATACTCATGTAACTACAAATACATGACTATCGGCCGACGGTTAAGGGCGAGGAGGCGGAGGCCTGGCCCTAGCAGCGCAGGGCCCCAGTATTGCCGCTCCGGCGGCTTTGAGACAAGCTGGGGCCCCATCAGCGATGCTGCTCGCCTGATGTCGGACTGCCCGGAAGTGACGTCACTTCTGGCCTGTCCGGCAGCAGACGAGGCCACGTGTGCAGGTAAGAGGAGCTAGGAAGGTAGGAAGGAAAGGAGGGAGGGATGCAGCCCTGACCAGCCCACCTGAGACCCCTTCAGAGCCCACCATAGAGAGTCCTGGATGGGCTGTGCAGCATCTATGGTGGGCTCTGCAGGGTCACTCTCAGGTGGGTCCTGTGTCCAGTGCGTCGCTAAGCCCTGCGTCCAGCGCGTCACTAAGCCCGTGTCCAGCGGGGGCCCCAAAATTTCTGACGGCTGCCTTGGCCACCCCTATGTGACCCAAGAGATGCTGCCACAGCCCCGCTCATTAAGGGGATGGCCCTGGGCTTACTATCACACACAAGGGCGGCTCCATAGAACACAGCAAGGGAAAGGAGCCACCCTAAAACAAGATGCTATGGGGATCAGCTGATTCTGCAGGAAATTACAACTTTAAAACATCAGCAGCAGCACCCATTGTAATGGACCATGTGAAATAGGTAAAAACATTTTGATGACACTTTTGCCATACAGAAGAAATGGATGAATACTGATAAATGAAGGGAATCCATGCTTCTGTCCTTCCTGGTGCCTTTCATTGTCCCCGTGTGCTAGGGTATGACTAGAAGTGCCCAGCAGTCCCAGTGAGTGCTATGGTGTGTGCGCTGTCGGTCGGGCTGTGTCCTCGGTGTGGGGGCGGTGATTGGGAAGTCTGGCAATCAGCTCAGTCCTGTCCTTCTCTCACCCCAGTCTCCGCTCTGCCCGGGACACACACAGGCAGCGGCAGCCGTGACAAAAAGGGCTGCAGAGGAGGAAAGCCATGCTCCCGGACTGCTGACAGTCGTGTGCTGTGCGGGGAAGGCATGCATCGTCCATCATGGAGATAAAAGATTCCGGCAGCGTAGTCCTGACAGGATACCATTCTTACACCCCATCCCGGACAATAGCGGAGGAGAGCCTCGTCACCGCCAGCCAGGCTGCGATAGTCAGGTAACTCCTTCCAGTCATGTTCCTCTATAACTTTCTATTGTCTCCTGTGTACGGCTTGTCCCGGGCATCTCGCTATATAAATAGTCCTATGATCACAGAATTTTTGTATACAAGCATGATGATCCCCTAAATCAGGTGTAGGCAATCCAGCTGTGGTCCTACTACATATCCCATCATGCCTTTGCCTCTGGAAGTTGGGTTAGAGGTTGCCAGAGTCTTGCAATGCAGCATGGGACTTGTAGTTCCACAACAGCTGGAGTGCCAAGGTTGCCTACCCCTGTATATAACACTTCTGATTCCCAATTGAGGGTTATGTAGCTTATAGATCAAAGTGATATTGAACCTTTGCTTTTTGTTTTGTTTAAGATGCATTAAGATACATTCTTCTTGTTAAAAGTTGTTTCTCTCCTCATGGTCCTACATCTGCTCCCCAAACCTCTGATCCCCAAACCTCTGATCCCCATGCCTATTTGTGTGTGTCTCCTTCAGCTGGCTGCAATCCATATACGAAATCACCACACTCCATATAGCGTACAGTATATCCTGTTCGAAGTGACAACACGGATGGCGCCGTGTCAGATACAGTCCATTACAGAAGTCACCAGCACTCGATGCACCAGCACTCGTCACTATATCGTCCAGAAGAAGGGACCCTGCGTGGCCCCGAAACGTTGGCTGTATGACGCATGTGACAATTTAATAAAAAGTGTTTTACTTCTTGCACACATCATCGAGTGCTGGTGGCTTCTATTATGGACTCCTTCAGCTGGCTGGCTGCTGAGGAGACACCCGTGCCTGCACGTTCATGTCCATGACCCGCGCCTAGCTGTGTGCGTAGACATACACACAGTGCACAGCAAGCCATACCCCTGCTCCCTCCATCGCTGCCCTATCAACAGTGTGACTGGCGGCAGAAAGTGCCTATCGCTTCACTTCCTTCAGTACCCTCCCCCACAACCAAAAAGTGTGGGGAACGGCGGATATCTTCCCTCACCTGGCGGAGGTGACAAGGGACGATAGGTGTTTGGGGCAGGATGCATGGAAGGTTATTGGGTGTTTTTTACCCTAATGCAGAGTATGCGTCATGGTAAAAACCGCCCAGCCTTTAGTACTACTACAACGCTCACCATAATCCAGTCAATCCAGAGATAGCCGCACTCCAAGGGTCTTATGATCACCAATCGCCATGAATAAGCCGGAGTGGTGAAGCGTGTTAGGGGTTGAGCACTCGTGAGCAGGAAGAAATATTATGTATTTGCTCTATAAATAAAGATTGTTATCTTCGGTGAAGACCCTTAGATTGCGGCTATTTCTGGATTGGGCTGCTATAGGCAATGGCACGCTTGTTTGCCTGCGCACAAGATGCAGTAGTAGTGGAAGACGGTTCCGGAATGTGAGCGGTGTTGGCTGTGGATTATTTGACCAAAATCTAGTGCTTTTAAATAGTGCGTGTTCACATATGAGCGCTCAGACGCCTGACGCTCACAAAGATACATGAGCTACTTTTGAGGGCCCATTGACAACACCAAGCTGTGCTAAACGGTCAGCTGCTGGTGTGCGCTGGCAGTCACATGCGCATCACACTGTTTACTTTTTTTGGTCAGAACTTTATTGAAATTTGACAAGTGAGGTCTATGGGTACAGCATGGTGACATGCGGATGTAACATTTGACACCACGCTGCACTGAAAAAAAGTACTGCATGGCGCCATTTTATTCAGCGTACACCATCACAATGCAGTGGTATGACCTGGACCCATTTCAAACAATGCAAATTGCATTGTCTATGTGTTGGGGCTGCGCCAAAAAAAAAATGGCTAGTGCTTCTCGTGAGAACGGGCCCTCAAGCAGAATGGGCATTTTTGGCCCAGTGGAGTTCAATGGAAGCATCTGAAAAATGCTCCTACAGGTGGTTTTGGAGAGTCTTTATTTGCGTGCTTTCCAGGCATATTCAGACTTGAGCGTTTTTGTTTTAGCCAATAGAAAGCCAGGTACCAGGAGGAGGAAACAGTTGTTTAGCCTTGAAAACCGCTCATTTTCAGGCTTTTTCCGGCGAAGTCTATGGAGCCAAATTGCCCCATTCTGCTTCCAAAGTAGCTCCTGTGGCTTTTTGAGCATCAGACATTGAGCTACAGGCTCTTGAGTGTTCATAAGTGGACAATGTAAAAGTATTGGATTCTGGTTGTTGTTTAGCGTTTCGGAGTTTTGAGCTTCAAGATATAAAACGTTCAGCTGTGTATGCAGCCGGCTGCTTTGTATCCCTTTACTTTGTCGCTCTCCTTCCAGCTGGAAGAGAAATGTAATGCTTTACTAATATATCCAATGTGTATGTGAATACTGAGACAGATCTAAAAATACATGCTGGCTTGGGTTATTAATATATGCTGATGTACACATTAATTATAAGCTCTTGTGCTGTTTTCAGATGCATGCCTCACCAGGCAACATATTAATGATAAGGTTGATTAATGATCAATGAAATCGATTTGAATGATGTTGGAGGTCAGAGGCAGATTATAATGAATCTGGCTGTACATGGAAAGAAGTCACTCAGCTCTCCCGTCCACACTCCAGGCTATTGGATTCTGTCAGCTGGCACCCAAAGCTGTCAGAATACCCAACTAGAGTCTGAATCTGATTGGCTCCAGTCAGTGTTTCGACCTACAGTTTTCCACCAGGCAACTTTGAATTTTCAGTTTAGGTTTGTTGAGTCAGGTGGTGTCAGCAGGGCCACCCACGGGTTGGATCGGGCGAAATCCGAGACATGTGCAGTCAGCTTAAGGGCAAAATTGACAGCCACCTGTGGCCCCAGACTCAAAAGGGGGCCCATTGGGAAGTTCTGCACTTCAGTGATCTTCATAGAATTCAAACTGAGCTTTGTAAGTTTGTAGACCTTTTCTCTGAGGTTTAGACTTTGTTTTTTCCCCCAAAAGTTTGGAATTTTTTTCTTAGCAATGGCAGCATTTAAATTTCTCTTTTTAAAGGTTTCCTTTAAGATCACCAAGGTCATCAAGTAATCATACACAATGAGGGGAATTTATCAAAACTGAAGTAGACAAAATCTGGAGCAGCCATGCATGGCAACCAATCAGCATCTCTCTTTCATTTTCAAACCATAACTGAACATACTGAAGAGAGATGTTGATTGGTGGCCACGAGCAACTGCTCCGGATTTTGTCTGCTTCAGTTTTGATAAATTCCCCCGACCATGTTTGCACATTACCTGTACCTAAAGGTATCACTTCCATATTATCTTCTACCATTATATGAGTGAGTGGTTCATATCCGATTCAATCCTGGGCTCAATAAACTATCAGCAACGCGACATTAACAGAGTGCGATAGTTTTACTAGTGTGCGTCCGATTACCTCAGAGTCTGTCTAGGTCCAAAAAAACTAATGAAAAACGTTTGCCTCCTTTTCCATTTTTACAGATCTAAATGCGATGATCGGAGGTAGAAGGATGTAAAGGGCCGCACGTCCGTTTACATCCGCCTGCCCGTAGGACTAATAAGTGTCATTGTTTTGATGATGGATGAAATAAAACCAAACAGTCTATGATGTCACAAAAGTGACATGCGTTCCGTTGTGATCCAATTCAGCCCGGGATCTGTTCACGGATCCCCTGCTAATCATAACAGACACTTCCTGTGTAAAAGGGCCCCTCAATGTTTGAAATCAAACCAGTGTGTTGGAAAGTACCTATCTTATAGTTCCGAGGCTCCTCGTGCAATACAGATATCAGGTCAACTAGGAAAGAAATTGTGCTTCTAGGGACTTTAAAGTGCCACTTAATAGAAATAGAGCTGGATCAGTCTGTTGAGGTTTCAGGAGCTTTCAGAACTAAAAGCATTTAAAATCACGGTGGGATGGCAGCGAGTAATATTTTCCAATACCATGCTGAGTCTGCTGACTTCTCCACTAATCCCATAGAGGAAAGCTGCCAACTATCACTTTTTAGCTTCATTTAGTTTATAATGGCAGCTAATTTAGAACAATTTTCTGCACTGCAGAAGCACAAAAATGTCAAATATCCCTATTTTTGTGCAGCTTTGGGGGATTTTAGACACATTGGGGGAAAACTGGAGCAGGCAGAATCTGGAGCAGTTGTCCATGGCAACCAATCAGCTTCTATATTTTATTTGCAAAGTTTAACTGAACAAATTGAAGATAGAAGCTGATTGGTTACTATAGACAACGGCTCCAGATTCTGTCTGCTAATGTGTGATAAATCCTCTCCATTGCTATGAATGTAATAGTTGTTTCAATTTCTTTATCGACCACAGAAGTTCCAGCCTTCTCTATGGATGACTTTCTTAAAGCTGAACCCTAGGCACAGAAAGCGTTTTACATAGCCACAAGGGATATAAATCTACTATGAGGGCGCCAATTGTAAATTGTAAGCTTTCATGAGCCGGGTCCTCTAATCCTTTTGTATGGTATTGCATTGTACTTGTGCTGTCTTCCTATATGTTGTAAAGCGCTGCACTATATAAATCCTGTATAATAATAATAATGTTAATAAAAATAATAATAATTATTTTTAAAAGCCCAATTATTAGCTTGTGACATCATCACAGTGCTGTACATAGCCTGTGCTTAGAGCAGAGCTGTGGGAGGAGTCCAGCAGGCCAAACCACTGTGTAAAACAACAGCAGGAGGGCGGAAGCAAGACCAGTCACCTTCCACAAGGAGAGAGAGCAGCAGTGACAGGTCTTTGCCTCTGTGTAGGATCTTTCTATAATAAAGGAATCACAGTCAATGACTGCATAGATGTGGAAGAAGTACACAAAACACACCAAGTAAAGATACACATACTTCCTCTATTTAGACAATGTTTGCTCATCCCAGAGTTCCGCTTTAAGCTTTTCCATCTAGTGCAAGTTCCGCTGACCTACTCAATCAGGTTAAACGAGAACTAAGGGCAAACCTTTTTTGGCGTTACATTTTTTTGGGTCACAGAAGGACATTCACTAATGTCCTCCTGTGACCCAAAACTCAG